GTCCACTTTTGGACTTGGTACAGATTAATAAAGACTTTCACTCTTTTCTTTTTGGGCAGACATTCCGTTGTTAATCCTCCAAGTTAGATTGGGCAAGCTATCTGCACTCCAAATTTCCAGACTGCTCCCATAAGGTGTTATAATTTGTGTCATATCCAATTTCCCAAAAAAGCTGGCTAGGAGAGTTCATTGATTAAAACATGGCCTTTTCATACAATCCATCTCTTGAAACATTTTTGTGAGTTTGAATTGGAAATCCAAGAAAAAAAAGAACACTTAAGAAATTCTTAACAACACTTACTTAAAGCCAAAGTTTTTCTTTTCAAGATCCTCTTGGGCAAATAGTTTTTTTTAACTTGTTTTTCGTTTGTATTTGCAAGTAGGACTTATTTTGTGATCTTATTCTTAAATTAAACTTCTTAATCTGCACTTTTGTCTATCGTCGTTTTCATATACACACTTATATTGTTTATGTTAAACCCGTTCATGTTTCTTTTATTTAATGATTATTATTTAACGGTTATAGTTTTATATGATCTTATTTCCTATTTGTTTTGATAATTTTATACACTTTTAATCCTTTAAATTGTTAGTTTTGTTTTATTAATTTTAAATTTTATGCTCAGGGCCCCGTGGAAGACCACATTATTTTGTGAACGGGCTACCCTGGTAAAAGATCAGAAATAAATAAATAAATAAATAAAGTCCAAACATATTTTCACCCCATTCCTCTTAGTCTTATCATGGAGCTATAAAAAGGAGCTCCATGGTCTTATCAAGAGGTCTGTTTTTCCTACCTTCGTGACCTCCAGTGACCCAAAGTTTGACCACCCCAACGCCATGCAACTGACCCCTCTCTCTCCCGCACACTGCCCCCTCTGAAAAAAACAGGCACACACTGCTGGTGTCAACCACCCATTTACACTACCTGCAACAAGCGTGGACAAAATCATTTGTCAACGATGACTGGTTTACTCACAAAGCCCTGGCATGAAAAATGTCCAGTTTACTTGAAAATGGCAAGGCTGAGGATTGCAGGTACTAAATGCTTGTGTCAGGTCGTTAACCTGTAATGACTTTTTTGTTTTTCCAATGGCTGGAGAGTATCCTGTATAGCTCTGCACAGGTTTTCCAAAATATGAGTGAGGCGAAGCCGCTCTCAAATATTTTTCACTCGCTTTTCCACCACTTATTTGAGACTGTAAAACTTATCGTTCTATAGCTGTTAACATGAACGTACAAGATTTCTTTAAATTTGTCCAAAGAAGAAAATGGCTGAAGTGACTTCAAGACTTTTAAGGTTTTTAAAGGCGCTCTTAAAGGCTAGTAGTTCCCACCTCAGTTGTTTGTACTAAACATTTTATCTTATATACATGTACAATGTAGGGAGAATGCAAACAAGAAAGTGTTCATCAAGCTACATGAAGAAGAGTAGTACTTTTCGCATATTTGTAAATGTGTTACATGTAGTCAAAAGTATAAGTCAGCCTACTCAAAATTGAAAATGGAGCATATCAGGGCAAGAATATTTAATAATTGTTGACTGCTGTGATGTGAGATATGACGTTTTTAACACCCAAGGGGCGCATATCACCTGAGGCGAAGCTGAGGTGCGCATAACATCCGAGGGGGTTAAAAACGACATATCCCACATCACAGCAGTCAACAACTGTTTTTGTTATATCGTGCCAATAACTAAAAAAGATACATTGTAAATGGTTGAAACTTACTGTGTGAAAAATAAATCACTGCAATGTAACCTTTGATAACTGAAGGTTTTGATGTCCTGCCGGACATGAGACTGAACGTTTGACATTGCAGTTCCCATTGCGAAAAGGTAGCTAGCATGCTGGCAGGTTCCACACGCGCGCGCAATGCTCGCAATGAACGTAGTGCGATATCACCCTCTGTGTGTGTGACATGCATTTGTATCGTCCAAACACCTGGCCGTTCTAGACCAATGAAATTACAGTATCCAAGCACACAATATAACAATATTGTTTGACCTACATGTACATGTATGTCTGAAGTGTCAGGGAGTGTAACTGATTGATACCTGTATATCACTCAACCCAGGGTTCACAAATCTTGGCTCACCTGTATACACTTTTTATGTCGCACGTTCTTTCTGTCAAACATTTTGTAAATACAGTTGTAAACGCAATTGTAAATTTTACTAGTGTCATTGAGTCATCGAACCACTTTCTCCTGTGGTATCCCATAAGTCACAGAGCGGATGTTTCCTTCTCCGAGTTCCATTCCAAGCCCAAGTTCCCAAGGAAAGAATTTTTGTTTCTTCCTATTCCTCAACCCTCTTTATGACAGCCCACCAGTTTTGAAATCAACTTGAGTATAAAGGTAAGGCGCAGTTTCGGATCGTCTTGCACAAGTAATCTTGTGCACCTAAAGATGAATTTATAGCTTACGATTCTGACCACAGGAGGTGTGGTGTTGATTTTACCTTCACTGGAACCCCAAGAAAAACTGTAACTCGATACAGTTTGATGTTGTGTTGCTGTTTTAGCGGTCGGTGTTGACCAGTGATAAATTAAATTCTCCCCCCTTTTTTTTTGTTTTTTGATTTGTGTAAAGGTTGCTCATTATTAAGGATCGCCATCAATCATGGGTTTTGCCCAGTGCGCCATGTTTGGTATCGCTCCTTCAGATAGAAATGATGCGTGTGCTCAAAACCGATATTTTGCTGTGATTGATATATGACTAACGTACATGTATACTCAACTACCAAAGGAGTTTTCTACAATAACATTTTACTTTTAGGAAACTGTTGTCAAAAGCAAAGTGATAAGTGTACACTGAAGAACTGCTGCTTGAATTTCTAATGGAAAACTTTTTAAAAAAAACAGGTCCAGGAATCCCTTAGGCTAAAAAAAAAAAGGTCTCCGGTTTCTGATGCGGGCGCGTTGCCGTAGCCATGCGCGTCGGCAAAATGAAAAAGTTTTTTTTTTCAATGTAAGATGATGTCTCAAAACTGCCAAACTCACTGGTTTGACTGGAATCCTGCTGCTGCACAATTTTAACGTGTTTTTAGATGGGGTTATGATCAAATATAAGCTTTAAATGTGACCTCTCTGGACTCCCATATACCGGTATTTTGCACTAAATTAAGTCTTGCAACATTTGCAGTCATCAGCCGACATTTGAAGGAAAAAAAAACTCTCGCTGCACCACTTTTTGGGCAAGCTCCATACCAGAAACCAGAGACTTTTTTTTGGCCTTACCTGACTAAAAAATGTTTATGAAAAATTTAATGTTGTTGAGTATTAAGTACTCTGGAAAATTGATCTCAACAACTGCCTCTCATTTTAAGGAGCAGAAAAGGGATGCTAGCTGTAACGAATACAAGTATGGACTATGATGGCTTCCATATTCATTACATACATGACATATGGAAGGCATCATAGTCTATAGTATAATCAATTCGGTTGACATACATGTACAATAATAGACACAATTCCTTGTCTCGGAAATTCAGGGGATATTGTCTAACTGTGCTTTGATATGTGCCTCAATTATGTTCATATTTTTCTGCTCCTGTACTCAATCTAGCAAAAGTAATTTCGGTCTCAAAAAATGTGGACTATTTCCCTTTGAAGGGCCAGTTCTATTTTCTGCTTGCTGAACCTTAAGGCAGATGGCAAACAAACTGCAATATGATACACTTAACTTTCAGGGAAGTCATCGGCTGCTATGAGACCTTTTGATGATTTGCTGTAAATCACAAGCTTTGTTTAGTTCCGTCAGTTTGTAACAAGTGCCGCTGGCCGGCACTGGGCCCAGGGCCCCCCTCTCCCTCTCTCAAGCAAATTGCTCATTTTGAGTGTTGCATGGAAAGCGTTAACGCCATGATGAATAATGGCACTTAATTCTTCATAGTCACTGTCATCTGGTCCCGCAAAGTTTGCACAAGATGTAAACATTTACAATTGTACATTCTCTCTCTCTTCCGCTCGTTTTCGTGCTTTAGTTTATGAGCTTGAGGAGAGAAGGATGTCTTTTCTGTTTTTGCTGGTGGTGTTCCGATCCTGTATCTGACCCCCCAGTATACTTACCCACTCAACGTCAGATGTCACTAACCCTTAGCCTTCTTGGTACAAGTGCCAACTAACCCTTATCAAGTGGCCTCTGAGTGGCCATACCATTACAAGAACCATGCCAGGTTTTTTTCACAGAATATCTTCCAATGAGAAACAAAACTTTCAAAGTTTTCTAATAACTTTTCATGAAAAGTACTAAAACGTGTGGGAACGTACATTGTTTCAATATTTTCTGGCATTCGGTTTTTTAGGTATTTTTCTTTTCTTGAAAAACAAGACATGATAATTTTCCAGTAACTGGTGAATTTCATCACGTTGTTCTTAATTTCAAGTCAAGACTAGGTTTCACGGATCATTTTCTGTTGTAAGGCTAGTTTAGATGTGAAGACAAGGCAAGAATTCGCTACAAAATTCGCCGGAGTGGCAGTAGGTTTGACTTATGTGAATTCACAGCGTAAAAACTTGATGCGACGTTACTATTTTGCAGCTTTGTTCATTTTTGCACTGAGTGTCAACCAGCCTTTACACAGGTCTCTGACTTGGTTGGGATGAAGTTTGCCTTTATTTTTTCAAATATTTTATTTTGTAGTCTACAAAAAAAAAGCTGAGGAAGTTTGTTGATGTTTATAAATTTAAATTTATAAATGACTTGAGCAGAGTTGCCCAAAAATATGTTTGAAACCTTTTTGTACAAATTTGCCCAAGTTTCTTTTAAACTTTGAAGAGAATTTCCAATCACACTATTCACCATGGAAAAGTGCCTATTTTTTAGGATCCTGTGGTGTTGTCAGAAATGTAAGCTTACTTTAGCCTTCTTACTGTATGTTGATTTAAGATTTATCTTATTTTAAGATACATCTTGCAGTTAGTTTATTTATCAATTCAATTTCAATTTAACATGGATCATATAATTAGCCTTGCATTGTTCTTTTCCATTCTCTACAGTGATGGTGTCATCAAGGAGTGGGACCTGTACAGCATGACATGTGTGAGGGCGCTACACGGCCATAAAGGGTCTGTCCGAGATGTTAGGGTAAGTTGCTTTACTGACAGTGTCATTTGGGTTCTGTGGTTCTTGATGATGCACTGGTAAAATTGTGATATTCTCTGATGGATTTGAGATTATTGTGTGTGATATTGTGATTGTAATCGAAGGTGTGAAAGATGGGGCTCAACTTGGTTGGATGCTAACCATTTACCGGGTAGTTTATTTGAGCAAGTTATGTGCAGTAAAGATTGTAGCATTTGGTGAGAATTTTAACTGCAGAATTTTAACATATTTGTGTTTCAAGAAACACGTTGTACCTGGTTTCTTTACAAAACGTTTTCTTCAATTTCCACCTGATGTGTTCATGAACAGCTAGAGAGGTACCAACGATGTTTCTTGTATTCATCAGGAAATGTTCTTTGGGAAAAATCGAAACCTGCCGGAGCTTAAATGTGGTCGGTTTTTGTGAACTTGCAGCGCGAGTATTTTCCATGACACCACAAATTGGCATTTACGTTCACTGTTGTGAACCAGGTTTGAACCGGCCTCATGTGTTGTCGCCCATCAGCTCTGACATTAATACATGTAGTGGCACCATACTGCTACCCAGACTCTAGTCTTCAACAAGTGGACAATCATTGTATAACAGTCAGTGAGTTTTCTGTTGAACAGACGAACACATCGTCTCACAAATTTCCAGTTCTGTCATGAAAATGAGGTGTGGACTGTAGTGGGACATCAAATTTTCAGGCCCATATTTACATATTTATTGTCGAGTTTATTTTTTTAATGGGTTGATTTCATAGAGCTGTTTTAAGGCCTTTTCACAATAGACAAATCTTGGGGTTGACGTGGGGTTGACACAGGTTTGAAAACCTGCAGCATTTCACATTTGAAATTTGCAACCCTGCGCCAACCCTGAGAATGATTTCGTCCGGAGTTGAACTCAACCCTGCTCCAGACCAGGGTTGAGATTTTCAACCTGGGTTGAAACTCTCGCCAGGGCTCAAACAGTAGAAACCGAATAAAATGAGCTCATTTTGAACGAAACAAGTGTGAAACGATGCGGGGTTGAACGCAGGGTTGAAAAATCAAAATCTCAGCCCGGGACGGCACTGGGTTCGCCCAGGGTTGAGTTCAACCCGGATTATTAGCAAAACTTGCTGGGCGTGAAATATTTTGCTCCGTGTTATAATTCTTTGTAGAAAAGAAAATATATTGTTGATGGTCAGTTTTCAGCTCAGCAATTCTCTGTGTGTTACATGTACATGAAACAGCCTCAAAGGGTAGACTGATCTGTTAAGACCCACCCAATATGCACCTCTTCAGTGCCAAACTGCATGCTCTAGCCACACCCATCATACGCACGTGCATGCATGTCGGACTTCTGTGTACACATGTCGGACATTAATAACGGCTGTGATTGATCGAAACACAATGGGCGGAGCTTAATAGATCAGTCCATTGGCACAACACTGGCCTCATTTTAATTTGGCTGAGGGAGGAGGCGATGAAAGGATTTCTGCGCACAACAACTAAGAAAGATTAAAAGTAAGCAAGGTTGGAACTAGAAACTTCCAACAACCTGATGCTTCTATAGTGATTGGCTGAAGAATCAAGGCAGTCGATTGTACCCTTGTGCAGGTTACTGACACTAAATACCACATCTCTAGAGACATGTCCCCCTCTCCCCTGACTCAGACCCCTTATCTGTGGCTTGCCGAATGCTTACTGTAATATATCTTGCTTCATCAACTCTAATTAAGATAGAAGACATGGATTGGGAGGGGCACCACGGATTCAGACTCCAAGGATTTGTCATACTCGTTATCAGATGCCGAAATAGTTTCTAGTTTTGGAGCACGCGCTGAAAGGCTCGTCGCATACAAAGACGATTGGCAGATTCACTCACAGATTTGCTCAAGATGATTTTTTTGTGGGGGGGGGGGGGGGGGGGGGGAAGGAGGGAATTGTAAAATCCCTGACGGATGTATATAATTGATATTGATAACTGCGAAAGACACCTTCAAGAACCATTATGAAGGAACTCTGTCATTTAAACCCTTAACTGTTTTTGACTTTGCCAAAAACAACATGAATTAGACATAATTGGTTCCATTCAAAAGTGTCATTTTCCTTAGCTCATGTGCAGTTGGTAATCCAGGGCCAGTTTTAGTGGCACAGTATGCTTTGGGTTTTTTTTCTTCAAATGAATAGTTAATTCCTCAGCCAAAAAAAAATGGTTACCAGCAAAAAAAACTTGTATCAGTGTGCACTACTTGGTTGTTGCTTATCATTATAATTAGCTTAGCAGGAGTTTATAATTGGCGGTTTCATAAAGTTGTGTTTCTGATGGCCCAAAATGCCCCAGTCACCGCAGATAGCCTTCTTAAATGTCATGTACAACCCTTGGGGACCACAGTTTTTAGATGGCAAATTACGATTTTGAACTTTTTCATGGGAGCACTATCAAATATGTGGGGTTCAGGGTAGGAGTTCAGAGTACTTCCATAAACCCCTGTCATGTTTGTGACATTTAGATTTCATTTTTCGTTTTAGAATTTTATTGAGAAGGAGGTAGATAATGACAAAATCTTATGAATTGATGGAACAGCTGTTGACAGATTCATGTTATCTTCTGAAGGGTGTGACTCTTTCAAACTTGGATCCGTCTGTCTTCTAATTATCCAATAGATGAGTTCTATGCTGTCATCACTGGATGACACATTTAATTACATTTAGCTGCAATCACTAAAAAAGTGCAATTTGTATAGGTTGCGTAGCCCTCCCAAGCCGGCAGAAATGACATATGGAGCGGAAAGATACACTTCCACACAAAATCCGTCATCATTTTAACTCAGAAAAGGAACTTTGGGTCAATTCCCTGATGAGTTATCCGGCATTTCCTTGGCTAGTTCAGTGACGGTGCCCACTTTAAGAAAAACTAACTTGCGGGGGTGGTGTCATTTAATTTGGACTGCATTCATCAAAGTGTACATTCGCAAATTGCATGTTCTAGCCAACACATTGCAGGGTGGAGCTGGAGGGTAGTTACATTGTGCATGCAGATCTATGCTCAATGCTTGTAGAAGCAGTGTGATGGTCTTATATATTGATATTAAAAAATAGTAACAACAGTAAACACTTTGAAAATCTAATACATGTACGTTTTGCAGTAAATGGAGATCTGTGAACACAACCTTGCTTTTGATGAGACTTCATTGTTGCATTAGTATTTAGTGAAGTTTGTAATTTGAAACTAGTACATTTTACTGAAATTTCTGTCGTAACGTTTCCTTCTTTATATAGAAGCATGCAATGTTGTATAAAATTCCTAAAGACCTGGTTGATGTACATGTACCACAGATAAGTTCAACCCCTATTTGGATGGAACAGATAGACAAGTTCTAGACAAACTAGCACTCGTTGATGCCCTTACTAGATGTGGAGTTTACCTGTAGTGTCCCTTAAACAGTTAAATGTGTTGAGACCTTGAACAACGTTGGAGGTATTTTGATAATTTTCAGTCCTTCCATGCCAGCCCTCTCCTGCCCCTCCCCCCCCCCCCCTTAATTAACTGTACAAATGTATAGGAGGGAGGGAGTTGCATATTCATGCATACGGTATATCCATCATGACCATGGTAGTTGTCACAGCCTAATATCAACTGGTAATCAAATCACAGAAGTGATGTTAATGAAGTTAGACTTTCCGGCGGTAAACACCTGAATTTGAGGCCAACCAGTAATCCATTTCTCACACCTTTTTTGATAACCCTGTTTGGTTTCCTTCTATGTAATTATTTCTACTTCTGCTGGATTGCTATCGAATCCCAATGCCAGTTTTATATTATCAACAATTTTTTTCAAACTGTCGAAATCAATTTTGAGTATTTTTATAAGAAATGCTATGATTTATCATGACCCTGTGTCCCAGTTCTGGTACCTTTTTAATGTTACATATTTGAACAACCTATTTTGTTCTCAACAGTAACAGAACAGAACTCCTAACGGAAATTTCCAAAAATGTGTCATTAGATCCATCGTTGGAAAAGGCCTTTTTTTATTGTTTTCTTCAAAAAGACAGCATGCCAGAAAGAATAATTTGACACGCAGTTTAGTACCATTACCATCTTTAAACCAAGTATGCTTTTCAACCACAATTTCGTTACTTTTTGGATAGCTGCAAATGATGTACTCTACCTTTAAAGAATGTTGTGGCCCTATGAAACAACCCAATTCCCGGGGGGTATGAAACAACCCAATTCCCGGGGGGTATCAGTGATGTTGTGATGTTCTTAAATCTTTTCACACATCGTGATAGATAAACTTCAGGTCTTACATTGAACTTAACTGAAGTAGAATTTGGACTGATCTCAGAAACAGTACTGACACTCTGCCAATTGAGCTTGTGTATTTCTTCCTTCAAAGGGTGCCAGTCAAAAGTCATAATCCTGTATCATGCCAATTGGTGAGGGACCCATGATCAGTCGCAATGGTAGCAACAAACTGCAAAAAGGCAATCTGAGATCTCAGAAACAGTACTGACACTCTAGCATGTGTATTTATCTTCCTTCAAAGGGTGCCAGTCAGCAGCCTTTGTTATTAAAATCTTCAAACGTTATGTCAAAGCTTAAGCTACCAGAATTTTAAGAGAAACTAATTGGGTTCATTTTTTGGAATGTTGATAATTTGATACTGTTGTCTTGTCAGGTTTCTGGTGACCGTATTGTGAGCTGTAGTGACGATGGTAACGTCAGGATCTGGGACTTGTTGACTCCGCCCCTCCGACTGGGAGACAAAGGGGAGGATGACACCATTGAAACAAAGACCATTGACCAACGGAAGGACAGATAATAGCATCCAAAAGTTTAGACAGGAAAGCTTCAATCGGGGTCATTGATTTAAAGTTGCAGACACTCGGTTCATTCAGAGTCTCTTAAAAAGGACTTATTACATGTACATCAGATTTTCGTCTTCCACATTTATTCGTGTAAATGTATTCATTTGTTGAAGGATCAGTTGAAAATGAATCAGATAAGCATGGAAAGGTTTCGCTTGCACTGGAGATCTTTCATACCTAGGGTCATCAGTTTTAAGTTGAAGACTCCGAGTCCATTCTGGACACTTGAAAAAGGAATTATTACACCAGATTTTTGTCTTCCTCATTGTACACTTGCTCCTTTTTGGTGTAGAATGGGTGGGAACTTCAGCTAGTTATGATCCTAGGCATGTGTTATGAGGGTAAATCAAGATGGAGTATTTAACACTGAACCACTTCTGTGTATCTACAGGGTGAGTCAAAAAGAAAGTGACCGAGTTAGCAAAAAAATATAACATAGGAATTGAGTACATGTTATTGACTAGTAACTGTGAAAATTTTATGTACCGGTACATGTAACTTGCATACTCTATTCACAAGTAATTTCTATTGTAATAGAAATACCACACAGCTGTCCACCACAGATCATTTATAGACACGCATAGATGAATACCCTTTAAATACAGTGAACCATGGGGGTTTCCCCTCCCCACGAACGAAGGAAAACTTTCAAAGGAAAACAGACGAAAATCACCATCATCATTTCAGAAAAAAAGACTTGATTTGTTCCTCATACAAAACAAAAACCACCTGACAGTAAAAAGAACGTTAGGCCTAAGTCTTGACTTAATTTAGGACAATACATTTGCATTTAGATGCCTGTGTGTAATTTCTGGTTCTCACTAAACGTACTGAGTAGCTTCAACGATTTTCGTTGTTCATTTCGCATTCCACGAATAGCTGTTAGTGTTAAAATGGGTTCTTTCAGTAAAACGTGCATAACTTCTGATAGCATGGATCAATTTCAGTATTTTTTTCAGATGAGTGGAAGAACATGCCTTTTAATACATGATTCATTATTGTATCACATTTGATTGCTGTTTAAGGAAAACATCCAGGTCACTTTCTGTTTGACTCTCTCTGTAAAGTAGTCCTCAACTTGGGCGAGTAGAATCATTTCCCTTAATGTACTTAATTAAAACCAAAAACTATCAGGGCATCATTAAGTGATTTGTCAAACAGAAAATATTGTTAGCTATACATGATGAATTGATAAGCATTTTGCTATTAAGCGCTGAGCATGTCACAAGCAAGCACGAAGATACCTATTATAATTAGATCTCAGACAATATGTAGATGCAATTGAAGCCTAGATAGGCATGGTCGTCGCGAGGGGGGGGGGCAAGAGAAAGCGTTTGCCCCCCCCCCCCCGGAAATGCAAAACAAAAACAAGACAACCCAAAGGGGGGGGGGGCAAATGTCCCTGCCCACCCTCGAAAAAAAATGATAAATGGAGAATATGCTAAAAAAAAGTACAGGGATTTGGGGGGGGGGAATGTGCTTTGCTTTGGCGACGCCCATGTAGATAGGATCATATTTATATTTTATATCATCAGGTCTGTGGTGTTTTAAAATTGATTGTTTGTTTTAACCAAAGAGCAGTTTATTGATGGTGTTTTGTTTTTGAACTGTCTTGCCAATGTAGACTTTGTGCTTCCATTCACTTGTTGCCCTAAGACCAAAGATTTTGTTATTTCACAAAATAACTTCCGCCGTACGGGTCCCTGGCCTAAAAGAACAAGGTGTTTTATTGATGTGCTATTTTTAAAGACTTAATTTTGTACACAATTTTTTTGGTGTGGTGTTCGAACTTCCAAGTTCGTTTTTTGTAAAATTTACATACTGACTGTTGCTTTTGGAGAAAAAGAAAAAGAAGAATTTGAAACGTTCCAAGTTTGCTTGTTGTTCAAACAGCAAATCTTTAATCTGCATTAATTTAGTTGTACACGTGAGCCTTATAATGAGTTATTTTTTTTTACTATTTATATTAAAATGCCAATGCAAAACGTTGAATGTGTTGTTGTCCCAGAAAGTCTACTCCGTGACAATTTCACCGAAAGTAGACAAATTGGTGGTCAACATAGTTGGGGAAGTACTTGTTATGGATAACATAGTATTTCCAGACTTTTTGCGTGTGGATTAGTAAAAAAAAAAAAAAATTAATACCAATATCCGTTCAATTTATACCATTATTAGGTTTTATACTTCCATGTAAGTGTAGTTTATTCCAGTTAAATTTTATGTTATTTATGTGTTCCCATTAGTTCACATTCATATGTTCTTGAGAATGTTATGAAAGTTGCCTTGATTTTTTTTAATTGATATATACATTTTATATCGTAAACATTTATTTATATTAATCACTTTCACTCCAAGAGTGACAGTTTCTTTACTATGCCGTCCATAAAGTTCACTTTCACATGTTTTAATGAAATATATGACTGGTTATAATTTGAATTCCTAAAGTTGTTTCTGATCAAATTTTCATACATAATAAATTGAAAAAAGAAAGTCACTGTATGCATGAAAATGAATGTCGGGGATGATATTGTTGTGAGTATTGTCAAAAGAAAATAGTCCAGTACTTTATGGTGCTACCGTACCAGATCCTACGTTCAGGGGCGTAAATCCCGAGGGGTGTGGTTGTATATCCCCCACTTCTTTTACCATGGGGGGTGGGCTATATTGGATCATCAATCCCCCCCCCCCATAACATTTTTTCGTGGTGAGAAACAAAAGCAGGCGTATTTTGAGGTATTTTTTGCAAACTTCCGAAGTAGATTCAATAGCACTGGAAAAGGAAGGAACATGTATAAAAGCTTTAAATGCGCCATTTTGATGTAAGATTAAGGCGCGCAAGTATACATAAGATGTACGTCAGTATCATGAACAGCGCCCCCTAATAATGTGGTGTCCGGCAAGCCAAGACCCCCCCCCCCCCCCCAAGCCCACCCCACCCCTCATTTTTGGACTTTGGTCATCCCTCATCCCCGGCACAAATTTACGCCACTGCCTACGTTCGTTCGTCACACCCGACTTTAGCCGGGGTCGAGCAGCGAAGAGCTCGCTAAACTCATCATCTCGGCTAACAACATCCAACCTTAGCGTTCGGCTTATATTTGAGGGAAACACTTTTGTCTTGCTGGGCATGGGACAGGCTAGCGTACACCTCTTGTGAATGCATTATTTTATTGGAAAAAATGTTTCATTTAGGAGCCAAATTTGTGATAACCGAAACCGTGTTAACTGCGAGTACGCGTCGATGCAGCATGTACATGTAAGTTGCCGCGCGTAGACATTTGAAGTGTCATTGTCTGCACTATTCAACGGAAAAATGATTGCCAACAGACTTCGCGCCTTTATTTGAATAACGCCGTGTGAGCTTCGGTTGCAGTTTCCCTTGCAGTTTGTAGGGCTTGAGTGTGATACATCTAGATGTCGGCTATTTTTCCCCAACCGGGACTGTTTTCGCATCTATATAGCAGTATCCCTAAAGGTAATCTGTACACCCGTTGACTGTTTACCAACGAACCGTGTACCGTGCTTGTGTCTTGACAGAAACCGACCGTGGCTCGGAGGGCTTTGGGCCCCTGTCCAAACATGCGCCGCTCCGGTCTGACTGTTCTTGCCCTGTAGGCCTCGGTCCTCGAGAAAACCAGCAGTCTCGGAAAATTCAAACCGGCATGTGTTTTTGTCAATTTCCTTCGTGGTAAATAAATGTGACTACTGGAGATGTCTTGTTTGGGAATGTGGTTCCCATGTGAAACCTTAGGCTTCTTGAAAAGTGCATTGTCTAGTTCAAAAGTGAAAGTGCAAAAGTGCATATTTAATAGATTGGTAGCAAAACTCATTAGAGGACAAACGGAACGCAAAAGTCACACCGATATTCCAGGGTGAAACCCACGGAATCAGCCAGGGACAGAAATTCAAACCGGGTCTGTTTGACACTAGGTGGCGCTGTTTATTATATCATCTACGGCATGTGTACGGTATGTACGTGTGTACGTATTCGCATGTGTACGTATGCGCACTGCGCAGTCCCATTCGACCAAGTATGTGATATGTTTTCGGAAGCTTGAGTGCAGTACACGTTTAGGGATGTACTATGTTCAATTATGATTACGTTCGTTTATGAAAGTGAACATTATGATTCCCAACTCTGAATAATATTAAATTGTAATTAGCTCTTTGAAATCGGTCGTAACGTTCATTGACTCCTTATGCTCCTTGTTTCTGCTTGTGAGATACCCAGTATAAACATTTGCTTTTATGACTGCAAAGTTTAGGCCTATAGTCTTGCCAAAAGTCGTTATCGTAGTGTGCAATTCTGTCACGCGAAGAATACCACTAATAATGTTTGCAGTTGTTACCATGTTAGTCCTAGGCCTATATCGATTTAGGCGAGCGTGGTTGAGTTATATGCTGGCCAACCATAAACGTAGGCCCTAGCCAATGATGTTGGTCAATAGCTGTGTCGTTGGTCATGTAGGGCTTCCTGTTTGTAACACCCCCCCCCCCCCCGTTTCCCTCTTGTTGGTTTGCGGCTCACCATAGGAACCCAGGGGATCCCGTGGGTGCGGGCACAACCCAAAGGAAACGACTAGCGCCCGTACTTGTCCCTGACGCGCCTAGAAGCGCGGCCCACCCGACTGTCATAGCGTGGTCTGAGCATCCCTGGCGACTTTAACCTTGCACAGGTACACAAAAACAAAACGTGCTTTCTTAATGGTTTCCCCTAAATACTGGAAGATATGTTTGCCCTTGTGGTGTACTTTCCCACGATGTCACAATGTCAGGACAACTGCACCGGGGGCCCTGTGCCCGTCTTAGATTTCAACTCTATTGTAACAATAATGCACACGATTTTTTACCTTATTAGTTTGCGCTGCGCTTTTGAAACCTAAATGCAATTCGGTGAAGCACCGCAAATTTTCTGTGGTCATCTTTTCTTCCGTGAAAGAAAAATTGGAAAGGATTTTTGATATTTAAACAAAATACAGAAATAAGATAGAATATCATCATAACAGAACGGGGCAAGCGTAGTCAATTAATTGATTCAGTGGTCGTGTATTTCATGGCTCTTTACAGAACGAAATAACAAATAAAAGCAAACATTTTTTAAAATTTATTTCAATTAATGGATATTGCTTTTATTTGGTCAATTATTTCTCCATCAAGTTTCGCAATAAGAGCCTCGTCCTGATAGATAGTACGTGTACTAAACATCGTGATCGATTAACAGATGAGAACAGAAAAGAAAGAAGCATGGTGACCGGTGAATTCAAGATCACAGCACTATTTCTTTGTTATTCGAAGGGACGAGGAATTCAAACATCCACCGATTCTACAAATTCAAAAGTTCACAATAATTCATTTACCTCTGTGCCGTACCGATCGTTAATCACGCCCTGGAATTTACCGTGAGTGTCTGTATTTAGCACCCCTCGGCACTTCGTTTGGAGTACATGTCATGTTCTGCACAGGTATACACTGTGTTTGTTTAACACGTGAATATGAGCATCAAAGATATACGGCCGTATGTAAATAAACTCCCTGACCATCATAAATATCAAGTGTAAAACCCGGCCCAGGAATGTGTCGCTGCTCATCAGTGACTGTGTTTATAAACCGTCAAATATTTCTGAAGGAAAATAGCGTCCGAGATCAGAAGGCGAAACATTACTTTTTGGTGTGTTTAACTTTACTCTCTGTTTCTATTTATTTACTAATATTTCTATTTTGGTTCTGCTCGGCCAAGAGTTCCTTCCTTTAAAGACAGCCTCGCTGATGTTTGTCGTCACGCGGTTTAAAGTTTGATGCAAAATACCTACCGGCAAGAAATGAATTATGAAAGCCAGTATACAGATGCGGGCCATATTTCTTGCTGCCGGCCAGGTGTGTGCATTGTGGTCGACTGCGGACTGGACTTCACGCAGTGCTGGTAATCACGCGACATTGAGGCAGGCAGCTGGCCGCAGGTACAACTTCGCAATGTAGTTCCGTCCACGATTTAAATACAGGCCCACTTCTTGAACAAAAAGGGACAATGCTTGTACACCGATTTTTAGTGCTAAATGCTACCTGTTTGGCAACTCCGACTGGTACTTAGACCAATTCGTGCAGCTATTACTGTACATTCACGGGGCCCCCTTCAATGACGTTGAAAGCATTAAACCCCGGCCCGTGACACATTATCTGGACAATAATTGGCACAATGCTTTCGCCGTCGAAGGGGCGCATAAATGTACAGTGAGCGTGCTCGCATTGATTTATCCGAATTAAGAAACTTTTTTTTTGTTATATGGCTACCGATGTGGTGCTGCACTGCTGCAGCGTGTCTGTCAAAAACTGAAGCCTCATC